GTCCTGGAACTCAATCTATAAACCAGCCTGGCTTTGAACTCAAAAAGAGTGCCTGCCTCTGCCCATGCCAACAGAGTACCACGACTTTTTTTTCCTTTTTTTTAATTTGAAAATAAGTTATTTTCTTGTAGTGTGTACCATGTGGGTTCCTGGTGCTGGGGAGATCAGGAGATGGCATTGGATTTCCTGGAACAAGAATTCTAGATGGCTGGTTGTTAGTTGCTACATGACTGATGGACAAGTTCCAGATCCTCTACAAGAGCAGCAAGTGCTCTTCACTCTGAGTTGCCAATCCAGGTCCCTATTCATTTGTTATATGCAACTATCTAAGGTAATAAGATTGATGATATTCATTGTAAACCCAGTCCCCTAAAAAGACACCATATTGTGTCCTCTAATCTCTTTTCCAATCTCTAATCTGGAGCTAGAATTCTAGTTTGAAAAGTCTCAAAGCTCAGACTTGACTTTTTTTATTTTTTCAATAAATATTAGGACAAGACATCCTGCTCTAACAATAAGCAATTTTTCTTTCTTTCAAAGTGTTAACTGTTGGGCAAGTCAGGCCTCTTTTTATGAAAACACTTGCTCTTTTGGAAGAGGGGATAGCTGTTTATGAAAAGCATTATTATTTTGAAATACAGCTGTAATTGAATACATAAAATGCTTTCAAATGTCCTTTCTTTTTTTCTTTCTCTAAACACATTTTGAAGGCAGTTGAGTATGTCCAGAGGCATTCCAGTCTGCTGACTTTAGGATGACATGATAGAATATCCCAACAGTCATTCTACCAGCCATCCATTTTAACCTTTTGAATATGTGTAATATTATCCTGATTTCAGCAGACCCTAAATGTGTCTACTGTCATCTCCTTGAATTGGTCTTAACTGAGTATGCTCAGGGATGTACTTGCCCTTAATGTTCTATTATATGAATATATGTATATATTACATATAGGTATAATATAATTATAATTGTGTTTGTGTGAGTATGTGTGTGTCCCAACTAATATCCTCCCACTTTCTTTACTCTGGAGACAAACTAATTCCTTAATTCACTTTAGGAAATAGGCATTAATGACAAGAATTAAATTGAGCAGTATATGAGGAAGAAAGTAGATCTAACTGAAGATTTTTCATTTTCTTTTATACCACAACTTTTGGTATATACAAAACACTTAACAAATCATTTAAGCTGTGTCTGAGTGACACTGTTTGGGAAATCCATATACCACTACCTACTTTCAAAGAGTGATTTAAGGATTAAACTCATTATAAGGCTTACATAATTCCATCCCATCATTAAATTTTTCAACATAATTTAACTCAAATGGTTACTTATTGTTCTAATAAACAACAGCCATGTGGTAGAGTTTCTGGAGATGGGCTGGTTGCTAGCAGATATCTAGTACTCCTGCCTAATCTCTTGCTAACACATGGGCATCTAACTGCAGCCACATGGGTCTCATGAGGATGTGCCAATTGATCAGGATGGCAGCCTCGATCTATAATCACAGAAATACTTTGGTAATGTACACAGAGAGCTATCTTGGTCACATTTAAGTTAACCTTAATCAAGAAGATAAAGGATGACATCTCCATTCACAAAATAGATAACAGATGGACTTCCCTAAAATCTACTTCTTAGATTAATTTTATTTGCTTAAATCTTTTGTCTGTTAAGATGGCATTCCCACAGGAATTTAAAATTGTTTTCCTGGAAATGAATATGTCCCTATCATTATTAGAATCTTCTCCTATGGGGTTCTGTTGTTGTGGATTGTGCATTCATGTTACACAAATACAATAAATACCTTTTAAATATTTTTCCTCAGAAAGGTCTATGGATTTCAAGATAAATATTGCATTAGACACTCTGTAAACAAACTGAGTCAAAACAACTCTTTAAAATATTTTCAGTGATTCCACCTTGTCTAAGTTCTGTTGATCTGCTATTTTTCATGCTTTTAAAAATGGAGAGCTTCATTTTACATATAGACTTTTGAGATTTATCCATACCTAGCATCTATTTTAAAAGAAAAATTTAAAAATAAATTTTATATTTTCATTCATGTTGGTATTAAGAACATGAGTGCAAAAAAATCAGATTGACAATAGTTTTATAGTTTAGTATTTAACAATTTTACCTAAATTATTTTACTTAGCTAAAATGAACCAATTAAATTTATTGAGGCTTTACTCATCAAGTTAAGTGAAATTAAATAAATGGTCTGGTGATACGAGTTAATGAGTAAAATGCTTGCTATATAATGGAGGAGACCTAAATTCAAAGTCCCTGAATCAAACTTCAGCACCAGGAGTCAGAGTAGAAGGGTCCTGGAATCTCATTGGCATTTGCCAGCCAATCTAGCCAAAATGGATATGCACACATGTATACATCATACACACACACACACACACACACACACACACACACAGGGGGGGTCTTATTTCAACTTCCGTCAGAGACAAATCTGAGTGTTTACTAAAATGATAATATGTTTAAAACACTTACTTTGTTAATATTCTTTTAAAGTTTGATTTTCCTCTATCTTATCTGTAATAATAATCATGATAATCTTAACCAGCTATGCCACTATTACAGGAAGGGCAATTTTTCATTTTTATTACAATCTTAAATTTATCAAGAAAATGTACATAATTGCATTATTTCCCTCCCTCAACAGATTGAGTTTCAGCCACTCATGGTTTCCCTTACCTCTGTATCTCTCTTTATAGATATATCAGCCCACCACAATACTCTCTTTCACAGGGAGGTGCTTCTAGGGCCAAGAAAGGGGAAACTCTAAGAAAAACAGGGCCTTGATCTATTTTACTCCATGCAGTATCCACACTGAATACATGGGTGGTAGGAAAGATTCAATGCTTACTGAAGTAAAAAGCCAATGTTCATCTTCCCTGACAGGGATTTGATACTCTTGTCTTTCTGAAGTTAATAGCTCCTTACCCCAGAACATCTGCTTTCTTTTGTCTGTCTCATTTTGAGATTCCTTGAAAATGAATCTTTTGTTTCTAGATTGCGCTGAAATGTTTCTTAAACACCTGTTTGGTGAATTCATTTACTTTTGTTCCTTAAAACGGAGTACATGATTGCTTATAATTGGGACAACCTTGATGAATATGAAAGCAGAGGCATCATTCTTATTAAAAATGGAGCAGAGGTTATGGTTAAGTTGAGTAGATTGTATGTATTCTATTCATGAAAAATTATTTTTAAAAGTAACTACTGCTTATATCCTTTATAAAAGACCTGTTTTTCTTTCAAGCTTTACATAGTCTTAAGTTAATGCAAATTTTCTTCTCTCTTAAAGGCTGAAGGTGATAATGGCACCTTCAGCACTATAAATTATAAGCATTTCATGTCTGTACATGTCTGAATGAGCTAAATACTTCTAATAAACCCAGACCAGAAAAAGATGTGCTTTGCTTTATTGTTTAATGTTACAGAAAAAAACAACAACAAACAAACAAAAAACCAACTATAGCTATACTAAGTCCTTGGTAGAAAGTAGTATATAAAACCAGTGAAGGCAGTTTCCAAGGCCTGTGTCCACCCAGACCCAGCCATTCTTTGTACTTAAGTATGCTTTCAATCCACACAGATGTTGTTCTCCTCTATTAAGATTCTCCCTTATATGTTTCCTACTCGGACAGGGCCTCATTATGTAGATCATGTTTAAGAAGAATGCAGATCTCCCTCTCTTCATTTCTTCAGTGCTAGGATAACAGGTATGCCCCACCACATCCAGTTTCAATTCCTTTTCAAAAGTCTCCAATCAGGATATCCTCTTCATAGCTGACAAATGCATTGTTATTTACACCTGGGTATCTATCTGTTCATCCCCATGTCTCAGAGATGCTTCCCTTGTTTTCACAGTTGCTCCCAAAGAACAAAGAGTGGGTTTTAGAATATATAGCTCTAAATTTCCTTCTCTACTCTCTCTGCGATACACACCAGTGTCCATGATGCTTATTAATGTTTCTCTCCTACCTTTTTTTTTGCCATGGATTAAAACCAAAGGTATTAAAATTATTCTCTTTACCACAGTATTTCTAGAATTCAGTATCATCTCATTTGAATTTGTGAAGTTTTGTAGTCTTTATGGTGTCTCTTACAGAAACATATTTAAATGCTATACAATATGTATTTTGATTGGAAATCAAGTGTAAAGACTTTTTTTTTTAAATATTGTGTGCCTACGCATGGGAGAGCGCGCGCATGTGTGTGTGTGTGTGTGTGTGTGTGTGTGTGTGTGTGCTTGTGTACTAATGAACATACTTGTGCACTTGACAATGTAGACACCTGTGAAGTGCAGAGCATGGCTTTGTGATGTATTTATCAGTCATTGCTGTATCTTATATTTTGAGGCCAGATCAGTTAGACCTACTGGCCAACACACTCTCATGATTTGTCTGTCTTTATTCACACCCCAAAGAACTGTGAAAAAGTTGCTGACATACACTGCCATATCTGGCTTTCTCTCTGGTTTCTGGGGACTTGAATCCTCCAATTCACATTTTTAAAGAAAGCAATAGTAAAATAAACAGAAAGATTGCAAATACTGTGTCATATGAATTTGCAGTATGTAGCTATTGTACTAGCTTCATTAAGTATAAAAAACTACATTATCAAAGACAGACAGAAGTGTTATTTTAATAACACCACAAACTGATTCCCTATAAAACATCAGATTTCACACATATCATTAAGAAAAAAAGTAATATTGAATTTTGATTAAAAATTTTAAATGGTTTTATAATAGGAAAGAATACAAAAATATCCAGATAGGAAAAAAGTTTCCTTCTTATGTACATTATTTACATTTTTTAATTAAGTAGAATATAAATGATTTTGTGTTGGGATGACACAATGAAATAAATCCCAATAACACAATGTCTGTACAGATCATAATATTTATCATGCGATCAATTGGTATCAGATAAATATATTCACAGAGAGAAGAAACAAACCCAGACACTTACTAATCTCAGTGGCAATGATGGTGATGTTGTGCCAGACACTTAATTCTCTGTCCAGTGGAGTTGCCAGTGTTATCTTCCCATCATCTGCATTGATGTTGAACTGTCTCTCCAAGTCAGTGTGACGGTCAATGGAAAACCTAGAGAACAGAGAGAAGTATAATCTCCTTGTAGATTTCTTTGATGTTTACCTTACACAATAGACCTTTAGTATTCCTGGGAGACTCATAGTTGTGAAGCCAAATGAATTGAAAAACTCTGTGGCATCATAATTTGTAAAAACAAAATGACTGAATGAGGCACAGGAAACCTAATAATTATTGTCCAAGGAGCAATTAGACACATATGCAACATGGAGGTCATAAACTACCATCATTTTCAATAGGCAGAATCTTCAAAAACTGATGCTGATGAAGTTAATTGGACAATCCATCACATTTATTAGACAACTTATGTTAATTAGTCATTGCCACATGATGCAGGATAAAACAACAAACTCAGGGCAATGCAAGGTGTGCTGACAGCATGTTATTCATTACTGTTTAGGAAATAGTGGGTTTTGATAAAATTGTGTCACACAATTTTCTGTTAAGTGGAGTTGCCAGCATTATCCTCTTACTATATTGACTAACTATATAGTGAATTAAACAGGTAGTAGACAAGTGTTATTAAGTAAATTGTCATTCTATGTCTTTTCATCTTTTTATTCATTAGAATTTTTATGCAGTTTTTCAGACTAGATTCAAAGACCTGAAAAAAGCTGGGTATCATTATCAAACCCCCTGCCAATTAACAATCACCATTAAGGATTTTGGAATACTACTAAAGGCTACTTAATATTATTGATATTTATTTATTGATAAATTCCTTAATAAAATGAAGCAATTAAAGCCATAACTTCTTATTTAGTCATGTGTCAGCTACAAGTAAAACTCAGTAACTACTAGCCATATAATATAGGAAAATATCCATCTCAATTAAATAGGATAATTGAAGAATTTACAAAGGATTCTCACTACACAACATATGTGTTAATAGTCTAAACAAAATATTGATCATGGGGAGGTATTTATTATAAAACCTTTGAACCCACAATTACTGGATTCAAACTGGAGATGGGACCAATGGCTCTTTTTCTGTAAAATCATGGATGAGTGAACCACTGAGTTTCCAAAGTTACCTGTAAAATATCTGGCAAGACATCTGGTTTGTTCCACATACAGTATATACTCAGACTCTTAAAAAGAGCTAAGAAATGCCTCCTGGATTAATTATCAATTTCTACACAATAATTTTCTTAAAAAAATTTCCAGGCATCCCTGGGTTCTAGCAATTTTAAATGTGTACTGGTGATATTACAAACATTGATGAAACAATTTTCTCAGAGGCCACAGTAAGTGACAATTAGTCCAATCACTGATGCCACATCAGCACCTTTTCCAATGCACACTCCATGGCTATTTGATGGGTTTGCTGTGAGTGACTAGAACCTCTAGCCTAAACTAGTTGGAACAGTGTAATGCATTTCAAAAAGCTTTCTGTTTATTCTCTTCTTCCAATTTGAGTGATGAACAAGGAATGTTACTTTGTGTTTGTGTATGTATGCAAGTGTATGCCTCATGTGTAGATACATTTGCATGTACATACAAGCAGATATGGAGGTTCAAGCCTGAGTTTGGGATCTTCATCCACACTTCCTCTACTTTATTCTTTGTGACAGGATCTCTCAAACATACCACATTTTGCTAATTCAGGCAGTCTCTCTAGTCATCTTACTCTGGGGAACCCTGGTTTTCATCTTTAGAGAATGAAATTATAGGTAGGGATTCAAGCTCTGATATTCTTTGTGGCAAAGCAAGCACTTTAACCACTGAGACATCTCCACAGACCATTGTATCTGTGGTTTGGCATGTATTTTTGTTTCTGAATTAATTTATAAATTCAGTTAAGCTTATTTCATTGTTGAAGTACCTATACATAAGAAATTGATTTGAAAACTGAGAATAAGTCATAAAGAAGTCTTTTGTTCTTTGTAGGTACTAAAGATAGGCCCACATAATGAAAATTGTTAAAGTTGTTCAAAAATGAAATCTTAATCTTGCTGAATGAAGGGTAGTGGAGAGTGACATATCTCTAAGTGTATAGAAAAGACATAAAACTATAAAATCTGTTGGTATTATTTAATATCCACAACTCTAATAGAGGTCTAAATATGTATCATAGCTTTTAAAGTTTCAGTTTATTACAGACATTAGGGTGTATGTTATAAGAATTTATTATATAAGCAACAAATGCAGCAATCTATTGATATCATGAGCAAAACATAATACCATTACATGATTTCACAATAGTGGGAACTCTAAAGGAAATGTGACTCAATTGAAGGTTCTTCTCTACCTGAACTGTGTCAAGAAAGACCTTGATGTTTTTAAAGAAATTTGCTTCACATATTTCACTTTCCAGCTTGAGTTCATGATAATTTTCTGAAAAATGGCTAACCTATGCGAAAATTTGGATGACACTCTGCTCAGGAAGACCATATCAACACTGGATATTTACCAGTACAGTACTAAACAGATTTTCTTTCTCTACTTTATTAGGTTCCAGGAACTCAATGTGCATGAGAATTGGAATGTTTGTCATCCTTTACATAAACTGGTATAGCATTTGTACATACAATTTGAAGTTTATTTACAACTCCTCAGGTACTTTAAATTATTTTTAGAATATAATATCTAATGCAGTATAAATTCAATGTAAATTGTAATTGTTTTTGAAATAAGAAAATAAAAATGTCTGCATGTGTTTAGTACAGACATAACCATCCTAGCTTTAATATCATGGTATATGGAGGAATCATGGAAATTATGGAGACAGACTGAGGATACATGAAATATTATAAAACTATTGTAGTATAGTCCTACATATTATTTTATTCATATGAATTCAGAACAGCATTCAGTGGATGTACTTTTATTTACTTAACTTTTCTGAAATAGTTAACGTTTTTTGGATTGAATCAAACTTGTTTTGAGTCTACAATGTAAGGCCTCCAGATAGGAAAAAGGATTTTACGATGAATAAAATAAAATTTCTTAAAATAATGAGATTTTTATATAACTTACCTAGAATGAATATGTCTGTGTGAATCCTTCTGAAATTCATTCATAAATCAAAGAAATGGTGTTCAGAATGGGATAGTAATAATATGTAATTATTAATATTACTGTGAGAATTAGATGAGATTATGCATAGGTAGCACTGTACTGACTAATATGAAGTAAGCATGGCCTCAAGAGCTCTCCTATCACTTGTAGGACAATGTCATCCTTGAATTCTGCATGTATACTTGATATTGGAAATATAAAGGGGTTACAGAGTGTTATGTTGGGATGTTTTGTGATCCCCTAATCTTGTATTTTCAATTTAAATCCTTAAAGGATTAGAGGGTGAATGAGGAGGGCCTTGCTCTGTTCTTGTAAATGTAATCCAAGGTGTCAGAAAGCCCTTTCTTACCACAAGTAAAGACACTGAGATACCAATCTATAGGCAAGCAAAGAGGGGCCTTATCAGAAACTGTTTTGCTGGCATTCTGGTCTCGGGATTCGAAACCTCTGGAAGTATGAAAAATAAATTATTTTTGACTTAAGCTGACCAGTCTATGGTACTTTGTTAAAGTCTCCGGAACAGACAAGACTCAGTCTGAGAGGTAATACCATTTCTCAATCTGGAATCCACCAATTTGAATATGTTTGTAATTCATAAGTATTAAAATGTGAGATCTAAGTAAAGATGATTTGCTAAATGAGATAATGATTCTGCCAAGAATGAAGTCTTATGTTTTTCATCATTTTTATATACCTCAGGATAAATTTTAATCCACCTCATTTTCTCCCTGATTCTGTTCTCATGTTTGAGATCATGGCTAGCTCGTTTGTGTATTTCTTCCTAGGCTATCAGGAAAGTCCCAGGGCACAGAACATCACATGGCCAAAACCCTTGGCATAATATATAAAGGTCATTGGCCTGAGTTCATAATTACCTATTAAGGATTCATCACTAGCAAATTATAGAAAAGAAAAAAAAAACACTCTCAAGGAAATATAAGTTGTCTTAAACATAATAAACCAGGAGTAATGACTTGAAGTTTAGAATATGATGTGACATATATATCATGAATAATGTGATCATTTCAGGCAAATGCCTGAGAAGCATGCCCTGGCCTCTAAGCCACTCTGAGATTTATCCCAAGCTTCACTGAATACCATTGCAGAAAGTAGAATACATGCTAGACTAAAGCCAGGGACTCTAGCTGTAACTCAATGGGGGTGGGTCTCATACCAAACTCTGTAGTCTTAGTTACCAGTCTATAAACTGTAAAATGTATGTGTTTTACAGTGTACTGCTTGGAAGTAAGTTGAAAATAACTGATAATTGGTATAAAAGTAAATATATAAATGATGAGACCTCTAAGGGACCAGACTACTTGTGGGGAAAAGAGTCCAGAAATAGAAAGTGGTGAGTAAAGATTCCAATTCAAATAATTTAATAGCTTTGAGAAGAGCAAACTGTCCTGACAGACTCAAACACAGACCCAAACTCTTTGTGGTAATTGTCTATATTGCTGTTCACCTCTGGTACTATAGGTATCACAACAGAACATAGACTCCAGTAGAAGAGAGGAGAAACTACACTGACTTTCTAGGTCATGATTCTTCCACAAGTCATCTTTACCATTTGGCCCCATTCTTTGTTGAGTTTTCTTTCTGAAGAATGTCTCTCCTATTATTCTTCAAACATTTACCTGACCTCTGCTCTTTACTTTCAAAAAATAGGTTTCATTCATCCACCTTAACATAAAAAGAGATTATTTTTTGCTTCTGTTATTTAATAATGCTATGTGGAGATAGTAATTTATTGAGTGAGGTTATTGATACAGGTGAATCATGTCATTAAAGAGATTGGAGAAAAGGGGAAAATGGGAAAGAAAAGAGAAAAACAAGTTTGTGTCCTAGTATTAATGTTCAAAAAGGAAACATATGCTAGCTAATACATTGATTTTATGTATATGATTAAAATATCCAGATTCATTGAGATTTTATGTGTTATATTTGTGCATCCTTCACACAATTGCTTATGA